GTTGGTAAAGACTAATGTTTTTTTTTAAGAATAAAACATTATGTTTCTTCTTGAATATGTTTTTAATGCTTCAAATATGCTTTGAACAGTACTATAAAAAAAACATATTTAAAAACATCAATTAAGCATGTTTTAAACGTTTTTTTTACCAACCCTGCTCTACAAGCACACTCTGATCAAGCTGAGAGTAAGTGACGGATTTCATTTACATATGCCTATTTACAGGGATCCGCGTTATTTTCTCCTTACGGAAAACTAGTCCATCTTGCGGCGATACTGCGTATTATGCCGCTTGCAGAGTATATGTACGCTATAGACGTCGCCAAGCAAGCGTAATACGCAGTACCGCCGCAAGATGGACTCGTTTTCCGTAAGGAGAAAATGACGCGGATTCCAATAAATAGGCATATGTAAATGAAATTCATCACTTACTCTTAGCTTGATCAGAGTGTAGTACACTCTGTGTACTTGTAGACTTTCTGAAAGTGCTTTTTTTAAAATAGTTATTAATAACTAGTTTCTGTGATGCATACTCGGTTCCTGCATTTTGTATCTCGCCGAAACGTGGATATATAGAGAAGATCTTAGACTACAGTAGTGTAGTAGTACAGCAGTGCCTTAAAATACTCCTAGTGCTCAGTAATACTTTTCTACGAGGGATAAGACTCGATTTTGTCTTTTTTCCGAAATCCCAAGCGAGCACTTTAACTTAGTTGGGAATTTTACCTGACTAACCTGACCCGTTTACGTTTAACTCTTTGAGGATCAGCGATCGATAATATCCGATTTAGCTCCGTTTTCAGAAGAAATAACTTTGTTGGTAATCGATTAAATGCTACACTGAGAAAAAGATATTGCAAAAGTTTATTTGTGGGATATAATGTTTGTTTCATTTAAATAAATCCTTATTTAAAAGCGGCGAAATGAAATTTTATTTTTATTCCCAATAAACCATCTATTTTTTTACACTTAATTAATGAGGAAAATAAGAGATATTTCACAGCAATGTATTCCATTATAGTCAAATGTTTTTATAAATAATGAATATTAAAAGAAATGTCACAAGTAACATTTACTTTGAATATTTTTATTCTTTTTCTCAGTGCAATGTATTAATTGCATTTTAATACTTCTAAAGAGAAAAAAAAATGTTTTTATACATATCTGAAAGAGAAAGAGAGAGAGAGAAGGAAACTTGTATCACGAATATTTTTATCCATCACTCAAAGAGTTAAAAACTGACCGCTTAGTTTTTACTGTTGGTAACTCCATTAATTTCCGGTTACTTGATTTTATCTTCGCCTGCCAGACAAAAAATGAAATTAACTTCCGTAACTAGCTTTAATATCGCACTTCTCTCATTTTCTGAAAACGTTTTCTCAATTTTTATTTTCGAATCATACATTAACATTGAGTGTAATATTCAACCACTCTAGCTTGAACATAATTATATAAAGTTGACATCGTAAAAGGATACTAAATAGGGAAAGAAAGGCAAGAGAGAAACTTGATTCTAAAATACAATACCACCGCGCGCAATGATGGCTGCTCTTGTGTCATTTATAGTATCTGAAAATTCTACGGTTGGTATAGTTTCACGGCTGGTATGGACTATAAAGTTAAACTGATAGTTTCAAATACGTGATCCGATATTGCATATGGCCCACTCGTCCGTGGACTAATCTCACTGAAAACTGTTTCACCGCTAAATTGGTAGGGTGCGATTGGTGTCTCAAAGGTCTCTTTCAGCTTCAGACGTGGAGAATAATAATAATAATTATTTCAACCCCAAGGTATCGGACAATTTCGAAATTGTAAGTAAAATTACGAATTAATGAGAACTTACTCGAATTAAAACTACAAATTAATTCTCCGAATTCCAGTAAATAGTTAGCAAAATTTCATTTAATTGTAACTATACGTACTTTATTTTAACAAAAGTTGCATTTACACTTAATTATTTAATCTTTTAATGCCATATAACTTCAGTTCTTTCTTTTTTAGACGAATATCAGTTCGAAGATGTTTAGAGCAAGCATGAGGATTATGGAATGCGGTATTTCTAGGGTATTCCAAATATATATATCGTAAACATAAAATTGCTGATGAAATTATTGCGCGAGATTCCAGCGAACCTTGTTGGTTAGACGTTAATTTGATTACGTCGGTGGAATATATTCGGAACAGCTTTCTGTCTAAAGGTGCTTTAAGTCAAGAGCCATCGGTTTATAAGACAGGTGGTAAGCCTGTCATCTGGAGATATCATTAACTGCACACTTCGACCTTCGGTGAAAACTAGAGTTCGATGGAAACTGAAGTTTCTTGGCTTCTGAGTGGCTTCTTAAGATAAGAACGAATCTTTTATTCAAGACTGCCAATATACTTATTTTACGTTACACAAAAGATATATTTATACAAAAGTATAACTTTTTTAATAAACGAATAAGATATATTTTTACGTTACACAAAAGATATATTTATACAAAAGTATAACTTTTTTAATAAACGAATAAGATACACGAAGAGAATTTTTTCTTAAAATTTACCCTGAAAATATGACAGTCGTGGGACAACATTGTATTTTGAAGAATTTTAATATAAATTTCTCTCTCATTCATTAATAAAACTACAATAAAGTATAAAATAAGTTTGATCAATTTTACTGAAGTGCATGGTAAAAATCTTTAAAATATTGTATTGTATATCACAATCACCATATTTTCAGGGTAAATTTTAAAAGAAAATTCTCTCCGTGTACCGTTCAATATCAATACCGTACTAGCTGTAATACGCTCGACCTGATAATCTTACTTGCAAAATTATACGTATTTTGTGTACCGATACAAAATCTTTCAGAGAACAAATCTTGAATTCTCTTCTACATTAAACTTCTTGCAGTATGAAACTTAAATAGGTATCAACAAAATAAACTTGGAATTAATCTAAGTTTTGCTGTTATTGTATCTAAAGTTTGTTTCATCGAATTTTATTGTAGTCTTTTCATTCTCATGTAAGAATATAGCTGTTGACACCTCAATTTATATTTTAGTAACTCTAGTGTCTTGTACGTCATCCCTTGACATTACAACACATGAGTTATGTTCTCAATTTAACGTCATTCGATGTCTGGTAGAAATTAAAATGAGAATACGCTTAATACATAATAAATTTAACCAGTTATAACAGCCACGAATGCTGGAAAGTTCAACGCGAAATGAAAAGATTTGAGAAAGGTCAACAGCGTCGATTTTCATGTCGGGAATGCTCGGCAACGCCATTTTTTATATGCCATTTCATCCGAAGCAATCCCCGGTGTACGTTTCCCGGACTCCGAAGAGGTTACAGGACGACATAAAATTTCACCAGCTCAACTTTTGACCCGGTGAACGTGATCATCCTAGAAACTCGCGACGGTGTTGAGTGTCAGGAATTCTCCGGACCGGGAAAACAGAGAAAGCCTCTTTTGCCTCGACGAGCCTGTTCAAGGAAATAAAGGCATTGCATTTTTCCGAGAGCGACGCATTTTTGGGAGAACGGCGATTCCCGGCGAATTGCCGGGCGCACTTAGATAAAAGTGGTCGACTCCAGCCATTCTCGACGCGAATAAATTGTCTTCTCGTGGCCGAAATAAAAATCAATGTACCCGTAAATACAATGTTTTTTAATTTAGAAACGGCTGTCCCAGCTAATTATTCCATAAAACAAATTAACGAAAGATATTTAAAAAAATTTTTTTTGACGCAAAGAGCAATACTGGGAGAACGGCGATTCCCGGCGAATTGCCGGGCGCACTTAGATAAAAGTGGTCGCTCCAGCCATTCTCGACGCGAATAAATTGTCTTCTCGTGGCCGAAATAAAAATCAATGTACCTGTAAATACAATGTTTCTTAATTTAGAAACGGCTGTCCCAGCTAATTATTCCATAAAACAAATTAACAAAAGATATTTAAAAAAATTTTTTTTGACGCAAAGAGCAATACTGGGTTGTCAAAAAAATTCTGAATCACTCTTCAAAAATAATTATTATAATGCACAGCAAAAAGAATTTTGCTAAAATATTAAAAAATGCAAGTAAATACAGATCTGAAAATAATTTTGTTTAAAATAATTACGTAGAAAACTCAAGCATGATGAGCAACATTGCAAAAAGTTTAATATTCTAACAACCAACTTGAGCGTCTTACATATAATTATTTTGATAATCTATGTTCTATGTGCGTTTATCCATCAAAATTTTTATAATATTATGTTGTTTGTATCAGTAAGATTACCATTTAAGTGTTAAAGGTGGCGAATGTTACAATCATGGTCGTGTGCAGGATTTCAGGGAAGAGGTAAAAATTTACTTTGACATAAAAGTTATTAAAATGTATACCATATATTAAAACCAGTTTCCGAGGACTTCAGCGAACTTTCTTAATATTTCTTTTTCCAACTTCTTTTTTATCACGAGCATCATTTTTCCGTGTACACTTAGCATATATAGTCCATTGAGGCGATTTTCCGACGTTATTAACAGCAATCAGATTTTCAATGTAT